TGGTAGTGGTAACATTAACACATGCTTGTGAAGGATGCAAACTTCACCTAGAACTTTAAAATTGTATATGTAACACTTGCGAAACATATTGTTGAGGTTTTTAAAGCTAAAACTTAATACCTAGTCAAATTTTCCTTCCTACAAGGAAAAATACTTCACAATAAATAATAAAGGTAGGTGAGTACTAGGTATCTTCTTGTCTTACCCATGAGATGACAATATGTATTGCATTTATTTCTCACAATGTTCTGACTGTCCAGTTAACGTCAAAACAAGCAAAGATTCATAAATACCAATGTAAGTACGGGAAACGATATATATAAAGTCGAGTAACGTTTTAGCACGAAACTAAGCACATCGCAAGTTGCCAGGCGTGCTTGCGCACATGTGACCGAATTTTCGCCCGCTTGCCTAAGTGCAATGCATAGAAACTCGGCACCTACGAACAGTATCGTCTTACCTCCACTTTCTAGCAATCTAACACATATGCACTACCACCGCCAAAGTTCGTGTTTAGTTGACTAGTTGTAACGTCTTCGAGCTCCGGGCGTTCGGTATTCAACTACACACAGATTGTATCAATGCTAGCTAGGTACTATATTAATTTACATTTACGTAACACAATACACAATGAGCATTGGATAATACCGACCAACCAATTTAACCTAATATATTCAGATACAGGTATATTCATTACCTATCATGCTAATTGAAACGAGCAATCAACCAACTTAATGTCAAGAAGGATAATCGATTTTCTTTTACATACGACGGTAGGTAAATAACAACTTGTATATTTAGGGATAAGTAGGTACAATATATGTATACTATGTATTTTTTATCAATCATAGATACTGGACATATTTATCGTAAGTTCTTAGAACATCGGTTTAACCTCTTGACTCCGGGGGCTCCGGCTCGACGTGCAGGAGGAGGAACGGGGTGGTTTTTAGTCAGTAAGAGTCTAACACTCCCTCCCGCCTCACCCAGGTGGGATCAGTCAGTCGATGATTTTCCCCCTTCAAAAAACCTCTTGACTGCCGGTGTATAAAACACAATAGAAAATACATTGTGTCTTGCGTGGATCCCACGAACTCGAAGAACGTAGCCATTCGTAGAACCGTAGAACACTAAACGTTTCAACTTTTATAGGCTATGGCATGTTCTACACAAAAACAAATACACCTATTTTCATCTAAAAATACAAAGCCATTTTCCATTTTCCAATCGAGTAGCTCAGGTCGGCGTGGTGCCTCATTTACATACATTGTTGAAACTTTTGTTCGATTGAAGTCCATCCCGCCAAAATGCGGTGGGTGCGAATTTTTAGAAGCACGCCGCCATTCTAATTGTGATTCGAGTGGTTAAAAGCTTTTCTTGGAAAAATCGTAACACGTCCGGAAAAGTAAAACTTTGATTTTAGGACTTTTAAATTTTTACTGAAATTAAAATTATCATTTTTAAAAAAGTAGTACCGTAAGCAGGTACCTTTTTTGAGGGAGAAAATCATACAATGACTTCTCCCATCCGGGTGAGGCGAGAGGGAATGTCAGGAACTGACTATAAACCACCCCGTTCCTACCCCTGCACTTCGAGCCGGGACCCCGGCAATGCTTTAAGTCCTCTGTGGCCCCGTATCGGCATCAGCCCTATTGGTGTGCCCATATGTGGTGATCTGATGGCTTTTTGAGGCGCGCGCGGAATATGAACACGGAACGCCCGGGTCTAGTTCTGGATGGTCGGGCGACGAGTTACCCATACTCACCGTCCGTAGGCCCGTGCTTACGGTGGCCGGGGATCGTCTCGCGACCATAAGTAGGTACCTAGATCAGGTTTAGGCAGGTTTCTAACTTAAGCATAAATAACGAGGAAATTAAAAATTTTAGGTAAATCTTCATTAACTCGTCGAGTACCGGTTTTGTAGACACAATTATAGAACAATAGGTTGCGGTCACCGGTGACCGCTTGGTGTTTGACAGTTTAAGTAGGTGACTACAAAAGATGACTATGTAAGCTGTGTGATAACCATGAGCTAGGGATGGGACTATCCACATTTTGTTAAAATATTTTATCAAATGACATTAATATTGTTTTGCACCTCAGCTACAAATTGTTAGCCTGATGAATACCTAAATAGCAAACAACACCGACCGTAAACTAATATTAGTAACAATACAAGCGTGAAATAGGCTCGTACATCCACATCCACTATGTATTTAGCCTACCTCCATATTGTCTAATTAATTACAAGAAGGCGAACGAATATTTGCATAATGGAGATAAACATGATCTGAAGAAATTAATTTAAAAATTGTTCTGTTTGATTCCCTATCCTCAGAGCTCTGTGCTATCAAGGGATTGCCGTAATTTGTCTTTAGGTTACTCAACTTGGAAAATTTTACTTCTTGGATTTGTTTTAGTTGAAAACAATCATAAAAGAGTTTTCTTTTAAGTTTAACTTATAATGATTCACAGAATAATTTATCCTATAACTTATATTAAACACTTAAGTACGTATGACGGCGAAAAATACCTATATTTAGGAGGTATAGGATGTAGTCGACATTAGCCTAAACAATGAAGGTCCATTATGACATGATAAAAGACACATTACCTACTTACTTGGTACCTAATACTTATAGCCAATACTTCTTAGTATCTAACAATATAGACAAGAATATTTTTAGTTCCCATTCGATTTGCATTTCAGGAGGTAAAAGTTTGAAGGCTCTCCAAATACGGCCTGGCCTTGCGAAGTATTGAGGGGTCTCTTAGCTGGCTAACACTTACAATTCAATCGTACTGTGAGAGCCATCGACTCGTGTAGGGATTGTTGTCGACACGCCCCTCACTGCCGAAACCTTTCCTCAGAGGGCGAGAGAGCAACTTAAAACAAAATGGAATGGTGTGTGGTGGTCATCTGTATGATTTGTTTAATCATTAACTTACTTACAGATCACGACCAAATGTCATTTCAGTCGTTTACCAAACAACATTAATTACACGCGCACAATTGCTACCATCATGTTATGATAATAATAGAAATAGTTTGTATAATGAGCGTCTCTCGCCATCAAACGTCAAAGTTTGACGAGTTTAAATTTAAGGCAAAACCTATGTAAAATTTCAATTGTTGAAAAAATGCGTTATATAGGTATTATATGAAGGTACATGCTTAAATTTAAGTAGGTGCTTTATACTTACCAACCTGCGTACTTTATCTGTCTAAAATTAAAGAGACAGATAAAATCTCAAAACGTGTAAACCAGATGGTTTACTAGATATATATACCTACGTACCATTGAATAAGCGTCAAGATTCAAAGGATAATCAAAGAAAGTGAAAGCCATAATCAAAGCACTACGGAAGAGATTTGCTGACGCCCGCACAGCGATATTGGCACCGACACAGGTTGTCGCTGATAACGATCCTATCGATATAATCGCTTGGATGCCACTTGCCGCCAATTGACGTAATAGAACGCCCTATTAGTAGAAGGTGACACACAATGAACCTTAATGTTGTTTCCTTGGTAGATAGTGAAGCTACCTACCCTCCTGTCACATTTTCTTAAGTATACTCGTTAAACTAGCGAGTCCCATAAGACCAACACGCCAGCAGATATTCTATCTCGATCTATATCGTCATCATGATACCTATAAACGAATGAAATTTAACTCGTCGAGTACCGGTTTTGTAGACACAATTATAGAACAATAGGTTGCGGTCACCGGTGACCGCTTGGTGTTTGACAGTTTAAAAACCAACGGGGCGTAATCGAAAAACTTGTAGAGTTTAAACCAACACCTATTAACGTCATACAAAAAGGAAACTTCATTAAAGTAAGTAATTCTGTATTTACCACCCAAAACTCTAGTTTAAACTTTGAACTGTGTTGTTGTTAGTTAAGTTCTTTAGTTTCGTGCACAACGAAACTTCAGAAGAACAAATATCAAATTTATTACATGCGAATAGGTGGGTAATCTCAATTAAACCAGTTCGCTTCGAAACTAAGATCGTTTAAATCGTGTATGTGTGAAGTAGTGTAGGGTATATGTACATCTACACAGCGAGTTAGGGACCACCATCACATAAACTGAAACTGTAACTGTAAACAAGTCTTAACAAAGTTTTGTGGTTAAGTTGTACGGTCTCTTAGTGTTTCGCACGATTCTATTGTTTAGTATGAATAACTATGCGGGAAGATAATGTGGCCGCCGTTATTTATTGGCTATTAATGTTCCAACTTCATTCGCTTCATGACAGAATTTAATACTGTTTCAATAAACATCTATTAAGAGATTACTTTGAAATATTGTAATAGAATAACTTATACCTGTTGTAGGTTTTAATAAATTTTAGTAATGGAAGCGACACGTAATTATTTTACTTGAAAGTCGATCAATCAAGCCTAGGGTGCATTTTATTTTGAGATGGAAACATACATACGTCACTAGCTCTATATTTGTCTTTTGTAGGTTTAGGTAGTCTGAGTTAGGCTCTCCACAAACGGATAACTTCGAGCAAACAGACGCTTGGCGCGTGTTAGCTGGGCAAATAAAGAGCAATAACATACACATGACTTGGAAAATCAATTGCGTTCCTACACAACACATAAATGTAGGTAACACCAAGTCGCTCACGCTTAATTCCATGTGTAAGGTTGAAAATTAAAAATTCCTGGCAGCATTAAATCGTCGCTAAAAACCAGAACATACTCGATGCAATTTTTTTTTTGTGGCGAAGACCTCAATGGCTTCGCCCGCCTTAGGCGAGGCGAGGGAGTGTCAGACTCTTACTGACTAAAAGCCACTCGGTTCATATACTTCTGCACTTTCGAGCCGGAGCCCCGGCAACCCGGCTCCATATCGGATACTCGTTAACTAAACTATCGAAAAATAATATCTACATCTAACATAGAGGTCTTAGGGGTCTTACAAAAGTATAGTATATAGTGCGCAGAGAGACAAGCAAGCTCCCATTAAAAAAATACAACTTAATAAAATAAAAAGGTGATTTTATTAAACAAATGTATATTTCATTAACACTTAGTAGGTAATAAAAATGCTACCTAAAGGTGAGACCACATCTGACGAATGTGCCGCTCGCGAGAATCTCACGCACGCGCATTTGTAATAATATTCACTCGCGTCCCTTGAAAACATTCGTCACAGACGAACGCACCATAAAAATAACTATGCAAGTATCAATCAATCAATAATCATCATTTAAAAACTATACTTATGCTACAGATTCACTTCTATTTTTTACTTTTAATTGTAGGTCTATGACAACAGTTTTTTTAAATAAATCTACTAAGTCACTTCTAACATGTGATTTGATTTGTTGTAGTCTACCACCACCAGCTCCAGCTATTAACCTTAACAATCTCTCATTGGGGCACTCCACTACTAATGCACAGAGTATTTTATCTTGTTCTTCAATCTCTTCATAATATTCAAGTTGAACATTCAGTTTGTATGGGATCTCTTGTGCCAAAAAGTCTAAGAACTTAGCCCTAACTGCTTCTGTTATCAGAGTCTCTGGTGTCTGGTCTGTCCATTCTGAAACTGCAAACTGATGACCAGCTGTCTTTGCATTGCTGACGAGATAGTTCTGAAAAAATTAAGGACATTCATATAATCAATCATGTTACCTGTTTACAATGTCGCCTTTGACAATTAAGTAGAAAATGTTATGTTATGTATATAATAAATAATATTTTTGTGGTTAGCATGTTTGCTACACCTGCAGGGTGTTCCCTACAGGTGTATTTGTAATATAAAATTGTATTTATAATAGACATGTTATATAATATACATGTTATACCCCCTATTACATGGGACTCATTACATAAATAATGAAAAGTGGGTGTTACATTGTACTGAGGCATAATGTGCACCTCTGCCTACCCCTTCGGGGATAAAAGGCGTGAAGTTTTGTACTTACAATATCAGAACGATTTAATACCGATTATTACAATAATATAATGTGACATAAAAAATATTTATACCTTTATATCCTGTATTCCATCACCATTTAGAGCTGATATAAGGAAGACATCTGAGAATTTACTGTATCCTTTTTCTATTTTTTTTTCACTGTTCCTTTTCCTTTTTTCTGATCCAGGGATAGGATTGCCAGCAATCATACCATTGGTGAGACTTTTTATTATTGCCAGTAGTTGATTTTTAGATTTCAATTTATCAATCTGTGAAAAATTGGTAATACACCATTACCACCAAAAAGTATACCACTTTTTAGCGACCACTCTCTACTAACTCCATTATAAACCTTATTTCTGATGTTTAGAGACTACTTTTGTATGAACAAATTTTGGGTATGATATATCAACATATAAGGTCAAAAAGCTGTCATTAGTAAATCATATACTTACTTTGTTAATGATTAAAAAGCTTGGTGTATCCGCTATAACATTCAGCATATTGATGACATCAGAGTGTAAAACATCTTTTGTATATCTATTAGAAACATCATGAACCACACCAACAACATCAGCACACCTCAAACTTTTGTGACATGCTCCCATCATAGAGTCCGGCAAATTATATCTGAAATTGTTAAAAAAAATAAAAATATGAAAATATTCTTAAAAAATAAAGCATTTAAGAATTAGGCCAAAGTTTTAAATGTTTGTTTTCTAATGGATGCTACCAATAAGATCACCAAAATTGTTAAAATGTAATAAAACTCACTTCTTCTTTTCTTTTTCAGTAACAACTCCAGGGGTGTCTAAAAATATAATCTGTGTGTCATTCTCGTAGCACATCGCTCGTACTAACTTAGTCGTCGTATGCACTTTGTTGGAAGCTGCACATATCTGGAATCGAGAATAGCATACACAATTTTAAAAAGGTTTACTGAAGAACACCGACATTTTTTAGGTTATGTATATAAAGTGAGTATTCTCTAACCTTCCTTTCCGTAACTTTATTTATGAGGGTGCTCTTTCCCGAATTTGGTGCCCCAATAATAGCTACATTTACAACTTTTCCTAAATTTCTTTCATTAGCACATTCTGGCTGTGATGAATAAAAGACTGCTTTGAAGTTCTGTTTTCTGTATGTCACACGGAAAGCACGTAATATAAATGTTGACATATTCTATTAGTCTTAATATTACAGTACAACTATTCAAACCACTTATTATTTTTTTGAAAAAGCAATCTTATTTGTTTACTTTATGAAACCTAATAAATGCAAATGCATGCAATGCAATGCATTTTTTGACAATGACATATGACATAAACTTGCTTGACTGACAGACTGACATATTGACCTTTGATCCATAGACAACAATCATGAAACCAAGATTGTATTCCCACTCTATTACTCTAGAAGTCTATGACTTCAGCAAACCAAAACAAAAAAACCAGCAAGCAAAGCAAAAGCAATCAAAACTTCAAAAGGTCAGCAGCAAGTGGTTTTTAAATTGTGTTACCGACCCCGTGTTAATATCTTGTTTTCTTTCTAACTAGCTTTTCTTTTGAAAAGCTTAAGGTTAATTTAACAGTACTACGGTTTAAGTGAGTTTCTTAATTTAATGTAAATTTTTATTGTACCTATTATTTCATTAGTGCCTAATGATAAGAGAGTAAGTACCACACGAAAATATAGGTGTGCGAAAATTGTAAATGAATGTGTAGTTCTATCTCCATTCCAACAATTAAAGAGTATCTAAACCTGGCGGATTCTATAAGGAGTGCATGATTAGTTATAAAATCGCCGGCATGATTTTTAATCAGGTAAGTACTTCATTCTACTTGTATTGTAGAATATTATATTAATTTTATGTTCCTTGAGTTTTATTTTATTATTTATTCTCATTAATGCCACCATATTGTTTATTTTTGCTTTTTTTTAATTCCTTTCCCGTTCACTGTTTACCCAACCTCCTCAATTATTTATTTTGTTTTGTTTTTTTATTTTCCAGAAATGTCAGAGATAAAGTATAAAAATCAAATTTTGGCTGCTATAGATCATTTACGCTCACGTAAATCGCGTCCTGATATACATAGGATTTGCAAGTTTATGTTAAAGTGTTATAAAGTACTTCCTAAAGATACTAAAGCAGATCTCAAACGTTGCCTGAAGGAGAAAAGTATTTTTAAAGTTGATTATAAAGATAATGTAAGCTATAGAAACGCTGCTAAGTGGCGAAAAAAATCAAACAGTGAGTTTATTAAATTGTGTGAATCTATTCAGCTTAAAAGTTTCTCATGTCTATGAGATAAACATGTCCCAAGAAGTGACCAGTCACTTCTGATCATGCTCAGATTGTCTTATCGTTAACTCCAGTACATCTAAAATTAATTCTGTTTTTTAGAAATGTCTTCATCAATTGCAACCAGTGAACGGCGGGTTATAACTTCAGCAATTGCTACATTGATATACCAAGATCAAAGCTATTTGGAAAATGGAATTGCCTTTGATGATCTTGTGTCTGCAGCAGCTGCACAAGGATCAAAATATTCAAAGAAACAACTTGAGGCTATTGTCAACAAAGAGTTATCATCGGGAAGTTTGGTCAAATTACAAAATGGCAACTTGGCTTTAGGTCCTGCAGACCATGATGGTGATAGCTCAGACAGCTTCAAATTTGAACAGTATCATGCAGATTTTAGCAATACAAAGGTAACTTAAAAAATTACACATTTCCACTATGATTGTCTGTAATTAGTTAAGCTGTTAGTAATTATTTGGCTTAAGGCCACAAAAAAGTACAAGCACATGATTTGTGACAAAATAAGATTAAATTTGTTAATTATATTTCATTCTAATGTAATAATAAGGAACTAAGAATTAAAATAATTCCAATAAGGATAAAGTAAGAGGTACAGTGCAATAATATTTATACAGGCATTACAGGTAGGTTGTTAAACCTTTATGTATACATACCTAATGTATTTCACATCTCAATGTATATCCTGGTGAGATCAATGATCACAAACAGCACATCCATCAGATGTGGACTCACCATTAAATTTGATAAGATACTATATTACCAAAAAGTTACGTAAATAGGGTATGAAACCTACCTACACAAATAAAAGTAAAACAAAGTGACATTTCTGAGTAATCATTGTTTTTCAAACAGTATACATAATTAGTGTTATTATCATTTTTATATTTATTTCCAGATGACTTCATCTGCCAATTCATCATGTAGATCTTCACCTCAAAGAATGCGTGGAAGGCCAAAGAAACGAGGTGGTGGATCATCTAGTAATGGACTTAGTGGTGGTAGTACATCACGTAATGCTGCTGTGCGCGTCGGCGAAAGACGTAAAATGGCTAAGAAAGTTTTTGATCCATCTGATAATAATGTACCAAGTAAACGAAAAAGAGGCAGGCCAGTGGGATCATTAAATAAAAGCACAATTAAGAAAAGACTTATTTCTGCTGGACTTCAGAAATCTGATGCAGATGGAACACCATTATCCGAAAGTCAACTATCCTTAGATGGAAGTGGTGATGAATTAGAACAAGAAGAACCCCTAGCTCATGAGACATCTGGAGGAGTATGTTCAGTATGTTTGGTGCAGAAACCTCGTGGTTCAAATGATAGACTGGTTGAATGCAGAGATTGTAACAATAAGGCTCACTTAACTTGCCTTCAATCAGGATCAGGCATTTTAAAACCTCGCCCAGATAACACTTGGCAATGCCCTCATTGCAAAACTTGTGTAGTATGCTGCGAAACTAATGATGCTGTAAGTAGTGTATTATTTAATAAATTTTTTTTATAATTATGTACAGAGTGAGTTATCTGCATTATATATTACTGAATAAAATGTTTACCATGTTTGTTTTCAGGGTATTTTAACTGTATGCAGTATTTGTTCTGATGCCTACCATGCACTTTGTCACAGTCCTCGAATACCAGAAAGACTAAAGGCTTGGGATCAATGGGAGTGCAATAATTGTCTTGAATCTCGGCCTACAGTTGTAGGATCACCAGCAATCCGGGGTAGTATGGAATACGCTGCACAAAATTCGCCTTCTGTGGACCCGTTCCTCAAGCCACATGAACTTGATAGAGCTCCTTCAAAACTTGTGGAGGAGATTCCTATTGACCCAAGTATTCCAGATATATCGAATTGGAATACTGATGATGTTTTTGATTATTTTAAACAGCATTTACCTGAAGCTGCTCCGATTCTTAAAGAACAGGTATAGAAAACAGCTAACTACAGTATATTATTACTTTGCTTAAAATTTTGCAAATTGTAAATCATTTGTATATTTGATTTCCAGGAATTTGATGGTCAAGCATTGAGTATGGCGCGGCGTGCAGATATAGTACGAGGTCTAGGATTACCTTTAGGCCCTGCATTGGCCTTGTATCGCATTATCGTTAAATTACAAACAAGAAAAGACGACTGGACAATGTGTTGGGGTTAAAAACCCATGTTTTTACAACTGCTTATGCAGATGCAGATAATAAGTTACCTATCAATTAATGTACCTAGTTATCTGAAATATATTTAAGTCTTACACATAACTTGTTTTCTACTTTTCTTTTTTAGTAATTGGTAATACCATTAATAATTTCTGGAATTGCAATATAATTTCTTATCAGTGGCACTTGAATATATGACCTGGAATTTGAATCATGCATTATTATAGTAATTTAGTCTATTCTGGAATTCTTAGATATGAAACATTCAATTAATGTGCCAAGTGCCCACATGCAATAGACACACCTAAATTGCAGTTTTTCAGTCTATTGATTATGTAACATTGTTGAATATTTTCCTACATAATATTTTTATGATAATACACTAAAACTTAATCTCTGTAGGTATGGGGTTTACCCTAGATAGGGTTTTTACTAATTATTAGATTAGTAAAAGGTGTAATTTACATATATTTCCCTCTTTAATATTTCATTACCTACCTTAACTTCTGTTATCTGCTTCAAACTTTCTTTACTATAATTTAGCACCTACCCAATGGTCGACTGTCAGAGAATGCCCACGTCGTTTCAGTGTTGTGTGCAATAGTTTGATAAATAAAATAATATTCAAATAACCAACAATATTTTATTAGGTAGGTAGTAGTAATATTTTACACTTCAGTGTTGTTAGCAGCAAATGCTCTTGACATAATTTTATCAGAGATCATGACTAGCTTTTTTGTTTAATTATCACCATCACTGTTAGTCTTTATTATCAGTGAGATACCTAGTCATCACTTACAAAACAGATATGATTGTATGAAGTTAAAATAGTTAGGGAACAATAACTATTAACAAAAAGTCATGAGGGTTTTCCAAACTAGATAAATAAAACTACTATTTTATTAAATTTTTGTATACTTAAAAGTATAACATATTTGTAAAACTTGGTTACCAGCATGAAATATCGGAAATATTAACAATGCAAGTTTGTGCAAAATGTTAACATATGAATGCCTGGTATGTCTTATACAATATTGAAATAAATTAAATTGGTAACTATTTTATTATCACATGAGCATTGTACTAGCTTTAATTATTTACTAAACTCGGGACACAATTTCAAAAACTTTAAAATTAAATATTATTATTATTCATAAACATTTTGATCTAGGACATCCCAAGCTCACAATTCTATAAATCTAGCTATGAATTATACAACACTCAAAATAAATATATTTCTAAAAAATATTTACAAAATAAATTATTGTAAAACAAAAAATAACCATTAACTATTATCAATGAGTTTTTTGGTCATAATGTTTCATGAATGATAAGAAAATGTTAAATATCATTGTTGCTACATTTATGTATACAACCCTGTAATGTGTAGGTAAAAAATAAAAATTAATAAATTGAACTGGCGGCCAGTACATGCAATCGCCCTGAAACAAAAATAAATTACGTCTTGATAAAAGAAAACCAACAAGTAGAAAAGTCATAAACTAAACAGTGGGGTAAAAATAAACATACCATATAAGCATATAATAATTTCTTTTTAATCTCTGCTGTACTTTCCCCAAGACTTTTCTGTTCTAGAAATCCCATTCCATAGAAGAAAGTAATTAGTGTTACTGGTGACGCAAATGCTTGATCACATCCTATTTTTAAAAATACTGTTTTTATATTAACCTTAGGTAACCATCTGTCTAAATAATCATAATAAAAGTGGTGTAAAGGGCCCATCGCTGTTCCCACCGTGAACATGCGAGCTGAAACAAAATGTACATCATTAATTAGTTACGTAAAATATTACAGGGTTATTAGAAATGTTTAAACAGCATCTACATATTTAAAATATCTTTTATTACTATAATTTCTAATATAGCATAATCATTCTCGGAAGAACCTTGGTGTACCTGCTCTTGCCCAGTCATATCTTTGAGGTAATACTTTGGTTTGAAATTCAAATTCTTGTTGCACCAAATCCCCAAGAGCCATACAAACTCCAGACGTTAAACTGTTAGTTAAAAAAAGGTTTTTCTTAAAAAAGAATGTCACGCCTCTGTGAAACATAGATTCCTTACGCATTTGGAATTTAAACGGACTATTTTGTTTTATTCCAGTTCTGAAACAACGAATGGCAAACATTCTTACGACCTGTAAAACAATAATTATTATTTAAGATTTTATTAATTACCTAATACTTACTGCATTTAAAGATAAAATAAATAATAGTTTACCTTTTTAATACGTAGGTACCAATAAACGAAAGCAATTTATTGTAGTGCTATGTGGCTATAAATTCGCATTACGAATTGAATAGCTTCTATCCAGTAATCCCAATGATTATTTACGAAAATACATTGAATTAAAAGTTGCGCCTTCGTTTTAGCACTTACCTCGAGAAAATTGTGACTTTGAATGACATGATTAACATGACATTTGACACAGTGATTGACAGTGACATTTCACGTTTACTTATTCAGAATAAAATTATGATAAGAAGCCCGCATTTCCTAAATTCTACTCTAAGAAGAAACACTGGAACAAAGTAATAGGACTCAGTTACCAAACCACATACGTTTGCCTTATTTCTTAAAAGGTCAACTCCGACAGGAATTTATTTGAAGTCACAAAATTATTGCTGGAATTACAATGATGTGTTGTCACTTTCTGCTTACATAAATCTCATAACAAGAAAAGAAACACCTGTATGTTCATTCATTCACCGTCGAGATAAGAGATTGGCGATTGTTTGGATATTATAATCAAAATGAGAAATACTGAGTAAATACTGGTGTATTTGTCCATTTTTTGCACAAACTCTCGAGTAAAAACGAATAAATACGCAGTATAAGTATTTACCCTGCAAATATTTATTTTTAATATTAATTCCAAAAATGATTCCATCTATCGACGTACATAATTTGAAAACAAAATTATATAGATTAAACCCAAACTCAGTCTATTTGTAAAAAAATCTATCAATGGTAAAGTAAGACATTTCAATTAAGGCCGATTTACACAGGTTAGGTATTAATCCCTCGCTCATTACTAGCCAATTAGTCAAGTTGTGAGGTCGCGGAGAACCTAACGGGTCACCGGGGCTCCGGCTCAAAGCGCAGGAGAAGGAACGGGGTGGTTTTCAGTCAGTAAGCTGACACTCCCTCCCGCCTCACCCAGGTGGAAGCAGTCATTCGATGATTTTCCTCCATCACAACTAATACAAAAAAAAAGAGTACAATACTGAACTAAAATATTCTTGTGGGAATTTTCAAGTCAGCGGCAGCGCTAACTTGTAACTGTACTAACTTCAAATCAACTTAGTAATTACATTGTTTTTGTTCGTGAAACGGAACGTTATGTCAGAATTTGACATTTTGACAACCAACTGACTGATAGAGCCATTTTCTTCATTCAATACAGAGACCACAAAAGGAAAAATAAAAACACCACCTTCATGTTAGGATTGAAAACAATTAATTAAGCATAAAATGGCTCTTCAAAGTGATCATTTAGATTTTTCTGGTCTATTTAAATTAGATGTATTGATACATCTAGATATTACTACTTACAGTTTCTATGAAGTGGGTCATAAAAAGTTTTTTGCCTTTACCAGTGATAAAGAATTGGTGTTCATGTATATTAATCCTCAATTAGAAAGATTTGAGAAGAATTATGACTGGGATTTCTTCGACAATCCAATTTACTGTATGTGTTTTGAACCAAGTGGTACATGGGTGATAATTGTTAGTGAACAAAAGGTTCTACTGGTGCCATATCTTCCTCTTTTTATTCCTCAAAACACTTTTGACTATAAATGGTCACTATCAAGAGTTACCGTTTTGCCACTGGGAAATATATCAAAGCCAACGTCACTGGTGTGTTGGTTGACTAAGGAGTCTGAAACTGTATTGATTATTGGATCAAAGGTATTAATTTTCTCTTGCATATTAATTAATTATACTCTATCATTGAGTGTTTATATACAAAATTCATTAAGCTGCAGCATTCTGTTGATTTATTCCTTTTTGTTTCGCAGACGGGCACAGTAACATTTTATTCTCTAGATTCGCAAACTATTGTAGGAGAGTGCAAAGTGCCAGGAGAAATAACAGACTTACAGATATGTTTTGATGATTCTTTGGATTTGTTAACACTCTTGGTAAGCATAATGATTAAACTGTCAAACACCACGAGGACACCAGTGACGAGCAATATACTGTTCTTTAATTGTGTCTATAATGACGGTACTCAAAGGGTTAATATTTACAACTAACACCAAAAAAAAAATGTTTTTCATAGAAAAATAAATTCAATTTTTGATTAAGTGTAGCTTTTTACACTTGCCTTTATTATTATCATTATGTAACCTTCAAATTAATTGAGTTATTAAAAAACTACAAATACTTACGACAATTCTTTTGCTTTATGCATTATACCTATACATGACTGTATAAAAAATTCACAAGTGATTAAATAAAGAAACAAATAAATAAATTCAAAAACAACATTCCTATTTTTGCAGATATCTATTAGTTCAGCACAACAGTGTAAGTTGGTGTTGGAGCACCGGTCTTTTGGCTACAACTGGCTGCAACAAACTCGGGCACAGAATGATAAAGATAAAAGAGACAGCTTCATGTCTTACATCAAGCAGTTGTCCAAGGATAAAATAACTTTCTTTATACAGGGTGGTTCCAAAGGTATGAAACATGTTATTGCTTCGATTGCATAGTATATAAAGATGAATTTTCTTCTTGTCTTCAAATTTTGATTATTTTATACCGAAACTTGTTCTGTAACTCTTTGTAAGTTTTTGTTATAGCTAATTCTAGATTTAATATTAGATATTCAATATGACTTCGCTATAACATTAACTTCACTATAAAATTTACAGATGATAATAAGTCACAAACAGTGGAATATGTGTTGAAGCCAACAGAGTATTTGCCTCTATTTCGTAAAGGGTCCAACAACTGGGCATTAACAGCACAATATGTAAATGGTAGACATTTCTTGACAGCCTTCGAGTTAACTGAAGGAACACTAATTGTAAGTAGATTTCACTATTTAAGTAAAATATGTAGTTATTGACAAAAATATAAACGACTAACTAAAAGTCATTAAAATAATACCAGTATTTGTATCTATCTCATAAATTAAAAGTTAGTAAAACAATTTAATTTATTTTTGCCTTAAAGTGATTTTTTACATAATAATTTTATCAAGCAAACAATGGGGCCAATATCCTAAGTCTGAGTTTATTTCGACTCGTTTAAAGAGGTCTGTCTCTTCTAAAGAGGACCATCTGTTAAAGAGGTCCGTGTTTGTTAAATAAGAAAGACTTTTAAAAAATATGTTAATATAATAAGATTGAATACATAATGCAGAAAGTAAAATGTTTACCATTGATTCTGCTGACAGGTACCTTACCTTAAATAATTTTGGTGGTTTTCGAGGAAGTAAATTAAAGACATGTTTATATTGACTTGTACTTTATTGCTATGTTGAATTTTGTAATTGTATAACCAATCAACCTAATCTCCAATATTTTCTTTCCAGTTAGAAAGTCCAGAAGAAGATACCCCTTCAAGAACTTTAAGGCCTCATATTAAAAAGGATGGTTTATACATACAGGGTCTATGGTCACAGAGGATAATATACCTAGTGAGAAAGAAAGAAATAGAAGTGCACTCAGCCAGTTTTTCTGTTATTCAGGTAAACAAGAATGTGACGTCATAATTATATTCTTTTATGAGAATGTCTGTCTTGATCCCTAACAAAGCTTTATGATAGTTATTTTATTTATTCTAATATTGACACATGTGGCATGTATATAACAAGAATATTTTTTGTTGTTGGTTAGGTACAATAATAACAATGCATTATTTTTAATTCAGTAAAAAAATTAACCTTATTGTATTCATCTTAAGGTATAATATTGCAACAGCCAAGAGCATTGTCTTTCTAAGTGTGTTTACTAGACATAACATCATTAAACCCGAGGTTGCAAATGATTATGTACTACAGAGGTTAATTTCAATACACTACAGCCATTTTTCATCCGTTATATTAATTAATGTTATGTACAACAAGGATCATTAGACCTGAAATCTCTTGCTAGAAATCTGTTACCAAATTAAACTTGCAGGGTGAAGCTCTATTGGGTGCTAAAAGGGATACTTCAGAACTCTGGCGAGCGGAATTAATCGGTGATGTGAAACGAGCACACTTGATGTCAGCTCGCGAGCCTCCCGCCATGTCCGGCGGGTGGCGGGAGCCGACCTTCATGTGTGACTTGCAATTGCCACGGTTCAGTCTCGAGTCTTGTCTCATAATCACCAATAAAGGAGCCTATATTTTGAATACAGTGTGAGTTATTATTGTTGTCATATAATGGGAATCATTTCTACTAATAAGGTCATCAATCATTCTGTTATTATAGTAAAAACTTTGTGCATAATTCAACGTTGATCACAACTTGCTCTTGCTTTAAGCTGAATAATATCATCTTTAAGTTATAAAACAATAAAATTCTGTAACTATTTATTAACCGATAACCAAGGAACAATCATACGATATTAATTCATAAAAAGTTCGTAATTGTTGTTCCACCAATAACTAAGGAAAGAGGTTAAAATTGATTTTAAAGACATCCCTCAAACCTCATCCATACGAGAGATGTGAGCGATGGGAATTGACCACATTATCATTTGCATGTTGCAAGAATCCAATTTTCTAATTAATTTCCAGGAGTGAAGCCTGCGAATGGTTAGTTGGTGTGATAATGCGCGGCGGTGTGGGCGCGGAACAATCTTGCGCCGCACTAGGGGCGCCCTTGCCCGCATTGCTACGTGCCGCCGCAGACATGCTACTGTCTCGAGGAAAGATGCAGCCTGCTTTGTACCTGTATTCATTGTCACAAGTAAGTAAGACGTTATTTTATAGGCTGTATGAACTAATTTACTTTGTCACTAGGTGTGAGAATTTATCATGATTTAATTTTGTTTCTTTGGTACAATATATTGTATTATCTAAGCAATAAGAGTTCCAAGTTTTTTTAATACGTCACATAATAATGAGTTATGCTGACTGATACACCTGTGTTCCTTTTCAGAGTCAGCCGGACGGATGGGTTGCTCGTCTTGGAGTATTCGGTAGACTTAACGAGTTAGCAGTTTACAAGCAGACTGGCAATATAGGTAGTCTTGGCGACGCTGCTATAACTGTCAAACTTTTAGCTTCACTGCTAAACATGACTGTTGATAACCAGGATAACTTTGATACGTAAGTTCTTAGTTTGAATATCATAATTTTTTTGGTATTGTAAAGTGAACTTTTCACCTTATTATTAAAGTTCAAAGTTGAACAATCTTATTTTCTATATTTTAGTGACGTCAAGTTAACAGCATTGAGTCCAATAGAATTACTGGAGCTATCGTCTTTCGCTGCTTCAGTGGGACTTTGGGACATGCTACCAATGTTCAGTATTCATCGCGGGTATCCTAACTTGTTACTATCGGCCTTAAAGTCCCGGAGTGATATCTGTCGCGGTGCCATCAACTGCCTATTGGGACAACGGTGCTTAGTACCTTTATTGCTAGAAGAAAATGGACAATGGCTCTTTGACTACATCGTTGAAAACTGTAAAAAGTTCGATACTCATATTTTGAAGGTAATATAATAATCCAGATGTTATATTTTCGACCGTATCATATTACAATAAAGTTGTAAATATGAATTTTTGACTATTTAAAAAGTATTACGATTTTAACAAAACAGCTATAATTCTAAGAAAAAATGTATTTAATGTCACCTTTCTTTGTAGTGTCTATCACTATGGTTGAACCCATTACAAGATCAGTTACGGCCAGTAATGCGTGATTTGAAACAAGGAATAACTTCGATTTATGTGAGTAAACGTATATCCAACAAACACATTCATCATTCTATAACTCTACACAATCTAACTACTATTATGTTCTTAACGTGGGTACATCAAACTTATACATATTCGTAAAATATTTCAGACGACAAGGTTGCAGCAATTGATAGCCACTTTTATACACATTGCATGTGTCATAGACGCAAGGGATCCATGTCCTGAAATACATTTAGAAGTTACACAAACTCCCGAGACTTGGAAGAATCAGTTTACTCCCAAAAGAGGTTTAAGTTGTGGTCTGGCTCATTGGGCAGTGGTGGATGAAGGAAACGCGAAGATAATGATGACAAATACACCGATAAACACGGAACTGATTGGGAGAGTCATTGATGTGGCGTGCGGCAGACATCATACTTTGGTGTTGACGGAAAATGGGGTATGTATTATTATTACTTCCTCACTGAAGCTCGCCTTTGTTCTTTAGAGTATGTAGTACAACTTACTGAAGGATGAAGAAAAAGAAGCTGTGCATATTTATGTATAATCTTCTACATTATGTTAAAAATACCCCAATAATAGTTATTATTATTTATCCCAAAACATAATTTGGCTTTTCGAATATGCAATCATGTTTTGTAGAAGTATTTAGGGCATGTAAAAAAGTAAAGTCACTGGATATACCTAAGAAGCTTTAGGTAATCAAAGTGTATGGGTTTTTGCTCAATCGCATAAAATAGATACTTTCTTATTTCATCTTCAAAATATATTCTAACCATCCTTACTAATATTATAAATCGGAAAGTGAGTTTGTTTGTTTATTCCGCTTTGACGCCATAACTACTTAAGCGGTTGCTTTAAATTTTTGCAGAAGTAAAGTTAGAAGTCCGGATTTAATAATAGGTTACTTTTTATCCCGGAAAAATTGGATATTCCCGAGGGAAAACAAAAGTATTGGTATATGTCACATAGGCTACTTTTTATCCTTTTGTGACGCGAGCGAAGCCGCGGGTAAAAGCTAGTAATAAATAAATATCATTGACAATATCACCCGGGTTCAGATATACGCGGCTGGCGACAATTCGTTCGGCCAGCTAGGCGTGGGCGCGGCGTGGAGTGGCGGTGTAGGCGAGGCGGCCGTGTCCAGCGGCGCCCTGCGGCCGACCGCGGGGAACTTCACCGCGCCACTCCTTGCACTGGCTGCGGGACACTATCATTCAGCGGCACTTGATGTCGGTGGACGACTTTACACTTGGGGGTAAGTAGCTCATCACTTTATTACAAACTAGCAAATAGTGTAGGATATAATAATAATTACCAACTTCGTATGAACCTTTTTCTGAACAATGAACATAATGAGAAAATCATTGTTTCATAGACTGCGTTAACTTCGTTTACCCACTTCAACCCCCCCCCCCCCCTTTAACTCGGTTAATTAATATACCGTATTAAAATCGGTTCAGGTAATCCCGAGATACTCGCAGCACAAACATACACACATTTATACAGTTAATTTAAACTGAGAACCTACTTTTTTAAGTCCCATTAGTAATTATCGAGTATCCTTTTTGGTCCAGTCGCTTCGCAAACTTTATTGATAAAGTAGTCTTATTGAAACGGTAAAAGAATTAACTGTTTCTTAAGTTCTTAAAAATCGATTTTTTTTTCTTCTATCGGGCTACTAAAGGGGTCACTGACTGATGGTTTGACATTTATCTATCTTTGCTCATTGTTTATTTTTATCGTAGATGGGGTGTCCATGGCCAGTTGTGTCATGGCACCATTGACGACGAGTGGACACCAAAGTTAGTCACAAAGTTCCAAGGTAGAAAGGTGAGTGTTTTACAGGAAAGTTCGTTTATCTCATGTTATCAACAGTAATTTCAAGACTCTCAAGGCTCTGTACTTTAGATGAAGGATGATGTTGTGGTTAAAAATTAAATAATAATTTCAGGTACTAAGTGTGGGATGCGGTGCTTGTCATACAGTGGTATTAATGAAGAACGGCGAGGTATGGGCGAGCGGTGCCGGAGTGTTCGGTCAGCTCGCCACTGGAGGCCGACACAAGTCCTCTGTACCTGTACGCGTGCGGTTACAAGATCCTGCTAAATCCATCGCTGTTGGATACTTCCATAACGTAAGATGCAATCTAAAATATTTCTCCTTCAAATATTATATTAACTAACAGTTAAAGTGCTATCTGCAATGTTATCCAAATATTAACCTAATTCAACATCTTTGTATAATGTAGATAAACATCATTGTGTTATGGCCTTAAAAATTTTTTAGATATGTAGCTTAAATATTTGCTATTTGATTTAAATGAAAAAGATACCAAATGTAGCGCAATTTTAACGCCCGCGTCTCTTAATTACCTATTTATCAAGCTATTGATCGGTAAACATTTAGTAACTACCAAATGTTAAGTGTTAAAGTTATATATTATAAGGGCGATTTTGTTAGACTAAGATCAAAACCTACTGTAGCGCCATCTGCTCAGAGTGAGAAGGACAAATACTATCATTATAATGTATTAAAATTACGCACAGTTGGCGTTAACAAGTAAAGGTGAGGTTTGGATATGGGGAGCGAGTCCCCAACAAGTCCGAGCTGCGGCGGCGCGGCGACAAGCGGAGCCTTCACCCGACTTACCATCACCAACCTCGCCTACCGCGCCTACAGCACAACCCGACCCACATCTACTGCCATACCGGCTTGATACTACTCATATACGCGGGGAAATTGTACAGGTATACTATAATTATTATTAATTATACACCAAATAATACCAAACTATCGAGTATAAGGATTATTTTCATGAGCCAATATTGATTATACAGATTTTATATATTGAGTTGCCTCGTCGAATGGTTACGTGTGTATTTAATGTCTCATGAGAGTTGTAATAAAATAAATAAATCAATCAGTAATCATGTTTATATCTCTCTCACGTTTTTTGTAATCATTAATTTTAGATGGCGGCCGGTTGGCATCACTCATGCTTACTAAATAATGCTGGTACGCTGTACACTTGGGGTCTCAACTTCGATGGACAGTTAGGTCAGTATTTCTATAAAAATTCACATCATCATCATCTAACAAAATTTTAACGATATTGTTACAATGAAAACTTTTGCACTTTTCTAGGAAGTGGAGACCGAAAGCAAATCACGATTCCTACTGAAGTAAAAATGGTTACCGACTCTCAAACAGATATTGTTAAAAATAACACCGCTAAAACACCAGACAATGAAATAAAAGATTTTAAAACGAGTGCCCTGGTAGCTTGTGGAGGGGACTTCACCGTTTATATTGACAACGATGGCAAAATATTTGCCTCTGGTAACACTCACCTGCAGGTACATATTCTACTAAGTCATTGTCATTGTAAATACCAAGTTTTATGTAGTTTACATGTAAGTAAATAATATCTAATATGTTTTAGCCTCACAGCGAAAAGGACAAAGGAGGCAACCGCGTTATAATGATGAAAACAACAAAACGTGTTATTAAAATCCCAGCGAGTCGCAGCAGCAACAAATTCTTGTTCCAACCTATTGACAGAATCGATATCATGTTTCCGTTCGATATCGAAGATTTACAAAGGAACCCAATTGAAGCCAGACTAAACCCACTAGCTTCCATGGCAGATTTCAAAAAGAAATCGTGGGCTGACGATATGATCCTCATACTGAAACCTTGGCTAAACAAGGACAATTTCAAAGACAATTTAAATTTAGCGTCCAAGTTCGCGTACCATAACAAAATATACTCAGAATGCTTAAGGTTGTTATTAGATCACTTAAAATGTGAAGTACAAAATGATCAAACATATGTTACACATACTACTATAGAAGAAGATGGAGAAGCGAATAAGGCGGCTACACCTTCTACACAAGAACAACTCAAGTTGGCAATAAAAAGCATTATGGCAAATCGTATCAAAGAAGTGTCAATGTCTATTCTCAATGAAGTGCCGTATCCGCTGATAGATCCTTCTGTTTTCAAAACTCTACCTTGTTGTTGTGATGAATTAAAATATCGCAAGAAAGGAGCATCTTCGAAAACGACCGTCAACTTACCAGAAATTGACATTTCTGTAAAAGCAGCTGAGATAATAGACAAATGTATGAGCATCTTCCCTGTAGACACAGAGCTGTGGGAAGTATGCTTCCGACTTTCTAAAAATTACTTCTTAGAAAATCATTTGTCTATATCAAAACTGGAGGTTGTGTTGCGTAAGTATATGGAATCTAACGCCACAACAATGGCGGCAGCCATCATGTACTCGAACGATTGTAACCAATACAGCAAAATACTATCGCCAACATTTTACTTGAATATGTGCAATCAAGTTTTGAATACTTGGGGTTGATCCTCATACTAATACTCTCATTTATATCTGTAGACAATTTAATCTCGAATATAAATGTACTGTAATTGCGTGCCATTAATCTCGAATCAAACAGTTAATAGTATAAATATCTTCTGTCTTACATATATTTAAGATAGATTAGGTATCCATAATCTTATCTAAATTCTAAATGTGAAAAACTCCAATAATCAAAAAGTACTTTAATTAAATGAAATGGTTTTCATGGAAACATGTCATCAGTATCGATATATTATGGCCATTAAAGTACAGGCGTACAACTACCCTCTCTCTTATAATAAATACTCGAATATTTTTATTGATGTTTATCAAATCAATGTAGTAAAACATAATCTTAGACTGAATATCTTCAGTTATTTTTATAATATATTACGTAGATGTGCTACCACTAGAAAAGGCTGCTATTTTTATTACACCTTTGTAATAAGATAGAAATTATTCAATTGTCATAATTATTGCAATGTTTTCTTTGTGAATAGTGGTTGTTTTCTTATTATTAATATCTATTTGTATGTTTGTTAACACTTACTAACGTTAATTTTTACTTATTTAATACTCACATCGTGTTTTATTAATGTCGAATTTTATCTATTATTATCGTTTAACAATATTTTATAGTGCCATCTTTGAAGTATTGCGCAGTTGTTTTGTTTAAAATGTGATTTAATTTTCTCTAGTGTTCGAATTTATTAAACTACACGTAGTTTAGTGCCGTCCCTTTTACTCTATACCGTGCAAGAAATAGGAGTGAAAACTGTTTATTGGCAATCATGATTTGTATAAGACTATTCATCACATAGATATTTTTTACTTTCGTGGGAAATATTGTGATAAATAGGCTGTTGCCTCTGGAATCCGGGTCAAATATCAACCTTCTTGTGAACTCACACTTTGTCCTCACTTCTACACCGCCAGGCCATCTTATGTAGCGGTACAGCAGTCCTACATAAAAGCAAGTGAACGTAAGTTCTGTGCTGTGAGTCTCACTATCAAAGTAGCCCCTAAAATGTTGTTTTTGTTTTAATCGAACAATTTATATTGTATTAGGTAATTATTATCTGTAATATTTCTGTTATTGATAGATTTTATACATTATTTCCTTTTAATTTGTTGTCATAATTAAATCTAGTCATTAGTTTAATTTCAAATGTTATAAATCATTACTAGGGCAATTAACTTTTGTTTATTGTTTGGTTAGAATAATAATGCTGGTAAATGTTTGTATATCGAATTCCTTACTTATAATCTGCATGCACTTTTGTGTTTTTGATGTGTAACAACATCAAGTGAATCGGTTTCTGTAGGCCGTATTTCTTTTTTATTTGATTGACAATATTTATATGACTTAAGTTAATAAACTCGCAGCATAATTTTATTCTTATTTTATTACTTTCCCTTGCCGTTCTCAAAGAACAAAATTAGGTACTTGATGGTAAGGAAATATGACAAGAAACAATACTGGTCGGGTTTCGATATGGAGTCAAAGCTCTTCTTTCATAATCCACAAACCCAGATTCTTCTGCCGCATTCACTGAATACGGGGCCTTGTTTGGATCACTACGATCTGTCAGTTCTTGTAATAATTCTAAGAATGATATGTTTGCGCACGAGTCGCATATTTATAGAATTTAGACTGAGGCGTGGTTACGGTACAGTGATGGTATCGGTAAAATAACAACGATTGTGTCGTTCATAGAAGAATGTATTTTTGTAAAACTATATTTACAAAATAAATATACAAGGTGTAAATTATTCACTTTCAAATGCAAGATGCAAGTCAAAGCAATCTTCACTAAACAAAAATAAATAAAACGGAATGAATTTCTAAAAAAAAAATATTCAAAATCAGAAATAAACTGTAAAGGCTTGTACACCAATTGTATAAGAAAAATAAAGTATTATTTCGTTAGGCGTGGTTCTTTAAATAATTGCACAGAGATAAGCGAATTAGAAGACGAATGGGAAAGAGACAATATCATACTTATATCAGTACCCAAATTACATTCAAATCAGATTCACACACGATTGCTTAGAGCGAATCTATTATATAACTAACTTAAAAGCCCGGATGTTCTGAGTGGGTTGTTTGATAAATATTTAGACCTATAACTAGAAGTTAATGGGTTTTCCACAGTACGCTGCTAAGTTTGCTTCACGAAGAGCTTCCGCACATGTCTGAAAAAAGGAATATAAATTTATAAGAAATTTGCAAACTCATCATGGGGAAGGTAAAGTGGTGCGTTGTAACATAACATAACAAACCACCTACTTTTCACTATTTATATTACGAGTCCCATGTAATAGGGGGTGAGCCTATTGCCATATACAGGGCACGATTCTAGAATCCGTACTACCACTGAGATTTTTTTAAAAAACCCAGTAGTACTTTGCCCGACCCGGGAATCGAACCCGAGACCTCTTGCCCGGCAGTCGCACTTGCGACCACTCGGCCAACGAGGCAGTGTGTTGTCTGGTATATTTTATACGAGAATGAGTAAAACAACTTACGGGATGCGCATGGCACACTCTGGCGACATCTTCAGCCGCCGCACCGTATTCTTGCGCTAACACGGCCTCGTTGATCAGCTCGCCACCACCCTGTTGAAAAAATTTATTAAAGTCAGGTGTAAAATATTTGTTATAGAAATATCGATTATGTACCTAATATGTAATGTACTCACGGGTCCAATAATGTGGGTACCGAGGATTACGTCTGTCGCTTTGTCTGACAAAACTTTAACGAAACCGTCGGGTTCACCATTAGTTTTCGCTCTTGAATTGGCTAGGTATGGGAACTTGCCTACTTTGTATGCCTTACCCTGTAAATAAAATAAAATGTAAGTATATTTTAATTTGAAATAATCTAATAGATAGATATTTCAATTAAGTTAGAAGTAGGTTCACAGGCTTACCTCTTTCTTGAGATCTTCCTCCGATTTGCCGACCCATCCAACTTCAGGTGTCGTGTAAATTACAGATGGGATCGCGTCGTAGTTGAAATGAACCGGCATGCCCTAAAATACGAAGCATTAAATATTAAATTAATTATTAATCATAATAAAATCTTAATAAATATGTTTTAAATAGTCTGACTTAAACATTCTGTATACTCTATATACTCTATATAATACAGATATAGTTTATTAAAATCAAAATTACCTTAATTCCTTCAACACATACGATTCCTTCATCTTCAGCTTTGTGGGCCAACATAGGTCCATGAATGCAATCACCAATGGCGTAAATTCTGGAAAAGTATGATATTATAAGACAAAAATCAATAAACTAAAGTACCTATAAAAGAAAATTGAAATATTAACAAACCCAGGGACTGTTGTCTGGAACTTGTTGTTAACGGGCACTCGGCCCCTGTCGTCGAGAGCGATACCAACGTTCTTAAGACCAAGGTCAGTGGTGTACGGACGACGGCCAATGGAAATAAGAACAACGTCGCAGTCCAACTAAAACATAAATATTGTTATAAATTATTATGATGCTGAATTAATTGCATATAGAATATTTTAAATTCTTGACAACTTATTACTTACAGCTTCCTTGGCGCCACCACCTTTGGAGGGCTCTACTTCAACTTTGACTATGCCACCTTCTTTCTTCACTGAAGTGACCTTCGTGTTCAATTTGAACTTCATTCCTTGTTTCGAAAGTATCTTATGTAAAGTTTTGGCTACTTCACCATCAATACCAACACCTAAAAATAATATTCTTCTTATAGTAGTGTTCAATTAATTCAATTATAAACTTTGTTTTTACTTTATGTGCAACAGTTGAGTAATTATATTTAAACATTTATTTGTTACAAACCTCCAATAGTTCCAAGGAATTCAATGGCAGTGACATCAGCACCCAGCCTCTGGTACACTGAACCAAGTTCCAAACCAATGACTCCTGCACCAATGACCAGCATTTTTTTGGGAACTGACTTAAGTGAAAGAGCTCCAGTAGACGTAATGATTTGTTGTTCATCAAACTGTTTACACAATATACAAAATATAATTAATTTAATATTTTTAATTTTTAAAACTATTTTAAAGTTCCTTTACTAACCGTAACACCTGGGAAAGGCGTCACTTCAGAGCCAGTGGCGATCAAAATGTTTTTCGTGTTAATTGTTTCGACGCCTTTTTCTCCTTTCACTTCCACCTTCTTGGGGTTAATAATTGTTCCTACACCACGAACTAATGTCACCTAAAACATATACATATCATCTTTTATTTCTCCAAAGACACTCAAAGTGAAAATAACAGATTTATATAGAACATTTTTTTTTTTTTAATTAAAACTGCCCCACACTAGGATTTTCTCCTGTGTCGTGGGTGCGTATACAAACATACAAGTTCACATACACATGACACCCAGACCCGAAACAACACTTTGTGGACCACACAGTGTTGTTCCGTGCGGGAATCGAACCCGCGACACGTTGCACGGCAGCCGGTTGCCCAGCCACCGCACCAACTGTGCAGTCAAAAACAATCAATATTATTATTATTGTTCTCCTTCCTCCTTCCTTTACAACTGCCCAAATTAAACTAGTATTCCATACATACATGCCATTCAGTTGATTAAATGCTGCTCAATAAATGACACAAACCATTTTGTTCCAATTGTGTAACCACTACCATGATTCAGTGTAACTTATTCAAACCAACCAAATTAATTCAATTACAAAGCAAAGAAAGAAAACATTAAGCCTATTGAACCGGACAAATAATAAATGACAAGATTAATTAAATTTGTATTTCCCATACAATGTTATTTAAAAATTGTTATTGTGTTATTGAAGGAAACTACTATGTTAATATTACCTTATTCTTTTTGAATAGCATGCCAATTCCACCAGTTAGAGCCTTAACAGCATTGACTTTGTATTCCATCATTTTACTAAAGTTGAAGTTGACTGGGCCTGTTTCAATACCTCGGTGTGCAAAGTCATGTTTAGCTTGGTGATATAAATGTGTGTTGTGGAGCAGGGCTTTGGAAGGAATGCATCCTACATTGAGGCAAGTACCACCTAGGGTTGAGTCTTTTTCCACTGACACTGTCTAGAAATAAAAAACACATTATAAAAATCGATTTTCTCAAGGCCCATAAAAAAAGTAGGCATTATATAGATTTACCTAAGTGTGTGAAATAAATGTAAATAAAAAATCTGACCAAGACATTGCTTCACCTTCACACAATCTACCTACTTAAGATTCTGCATTTTTTATATTATATTGTGGCTTAAGTTGAACACACATATAACATATTAATGTAAATTAACTATGATAATGTCCAATTACTTTCAATGAAATCACCCAACATGAGAAACAGATTGATTGTTCATATTTATTTTTATTGGCATAATATAAATATATTGCTTTATTAAGACTACCTACTGCCTAATGAGTTCCAATCATTGAAGATAAGATTTATTAACAATAGGGCACTCTATAATATAATAGTGAAAAATTTAACTATTTCTTACTTAGTATTTAATTTTCTCACCTTCATACCCAGTTGTGCCGCCTTGATAGCCGCGACGTAGCCGCCAGGGCCCGAACCTATCACAACTATGTCAGCCTCATGAGTGGTAGCATAGTTTCTTGTAGCATTCCTTATAGGCCCTCCTTTCTGCAAAATAAAAAAGTCATTTATATAACAAACCAGCTATTTTAAAACATAATTATTAAGATATTTTATTTGTTCATTGGTGCACAAAAAAAAAATTAAACAAAAACATAGACAACGCTTATTACTGAGATAAGTATAGACAAACATGACAAGTACTTATTATTAAGTAAGTTCCCTATGAGATCCCTAATATTGTGTTGTTCTAAGGTTATGGACCACAAAACTTCAAGAATATAGATATTGGTGGAACTTGTGATAATTTCCAAGTAAGATATACATATATCACATACTACCTTATCACAAATATGACTGTATCCTGTGTTTAATCTGTCTGACAAGATGATTGCATATATTAATTTCTAATTTTATTTTATTATTCTAACTAATAAACTAACAAATTTAATTTTGTCTGCAGCAGTATCTAGTTAGATTCAACCAGATGTTTATTTACTTTCTTCTAATAAGAAAAGATATACATTGTGCTTTTTTATCTAAAGCTTAAAGGAGAAATGTCTACGCATAGAATCTAATGTGAACTCAATAATTAGGTACTATCACATACCTACACAAGTAAGCATTACAGTAGATCAACCAAAATGAGTATATCGATAATATAATTTAGAACAGCTATAAATTATTGGTTAGTTGATCCAGTTAGATAACATAACAAATCAAAGTCATGCATCGCGATTTCTTGTTTTTCTAATTTGATAAGAAATTATTGATGACAGTCGGTCACATGTTTGAAGGTCAGTTCAGGTTATAAAGAGCCTTAGAAGTCTGTGGATGCTCACAAGTTCAGTTATCTACGTTTGTTTTATAAAATTGAGTGACTATGTTTGTACCGGCATTAAAATAGTATAAAATTCCTAGTTAGAATTGTTCGTAAGGGAGTCATTGCATAACATTTGACAGCTTTTTGAATACCTATTTCATTCTAAAACTTAAATTAAAAAGTAAAAACATTACAAGCTTACCCTGTACGCAGATGAAGCAATTTTAAGAAACGTGTAACCCATTATTTGGACCGGAATATGCCCTGATTTAATTACGGGATTGCTTGTTTTATGAAAAATCGGAACCCTGGCGACAGACGACTGATCGAACGAAAACGTCATAAAATTGAAGTTGCAGTTACATGTCTTTACTAATTTCTATTTTTAAGCGGCAAACGTCCTCCTTACTCACATTACTTACAGGACATAGTGAGATGAAATAGCATTACTAGTGACATTTTAAGCATTCTGAAGTAGGTAAATTGAGTACTGAAACGCAGCTACTAATGTTGCCATTTTAGTAACAGAATAAAACCTGGCTGAAGTGATTTCAAGAAAAATACAGCAATAGTTTTACACTAGAATTCCTTGAATGATTAAAATGTTACTATTAGCCAAGTGTAAATCAAAGCAGAACTGCAGAACCAATAATCACCAAAAATGAAGTAACAGAATTCTCCATTTTTCTATTGTAGCAATACATAAATGCGCGCGCTGCTAGAATGCGAACTTTGTTTATCAATCAAATCAAGCGAAGGACGGTGTCTGGTGGTGTCTCGAAACGTGTGAGCGTATCTTACGTAAATCGATTTTAGTATACATTTATAACCATATTTATTTACACGTAAACATAGCGGAACAATACAAATCTAAAATAATTCAGTGTAGTGCGGCTGTTTACATTAAAAGGTAAGATTTAATTTTCTATTTTCATTTTTACAGTGAACTAACGTTTTTAGAAAATCTCTTATCTTTATCACTTGATATTATGTTTAATAACTGGTTTTACCTAAGAGTTAGTATTTAATTTCTGTACCAACTTTAATAAATTATGAAAATGTAACTTGGCCAATTATTAAGTATTCTAATATCTAACATTAATTTACAGAAGGACAGTACTTAGTCAATAGGCAGATTATCTAGTCAAGATTTATCAATGTACAATTTTGTAACTTTTTACCTTGGTTCTAAATCTTACGGTAGATTCCTCATAGAAATAGAAATGTTATTTGTAAGAATTTATCAATTCCTTACAAACTTGGAAATACGCACGTTTTGTAAACAAAAGCTTAATCCTACCTAACAATGGAAATATTTATGTAGGGAGGTACGTAGCCGAACTTTTTAGTTAAGGTTTTCATTTCGATAGAAGAAATAACGTAATGTATGCAACTACAACTACAATTTTACTTCAAAATAATGTCAAACCCGATACCTAGTTCAAGCGCGGTATTATTATCATCTAACTTGTGAGACGGTTGTTATAAGGCACCTAATTTTACGTCGAAAGACGGTATTACCACGGTAATATTATCATACAGTAGTGTCACGGTAATATTAGGCATGATCTCTTAATATTTGCAAATACTGCTCCTTCCTCATAATTCCATCAATTTTAACTAGGTCTCCGACAACTGTTCCAGTAAAACACCCCCAGACTAAAACGTTACCACCACCCTGTTTTACTGATGACACCAAGCAGCTTTCAGATACTCGTTCATGGGATCTGCGGCGCACAAACACTCGTCGATTAGAGCCAAAGATTTGAAATTTTGATTCGTCCGTCCATAATACACTTTTCCACTGTTCCACTGTCCATTGTTCATGCTGTTTTGCCCATTCCAGACGTTTTTTCTTATGTATTGCCCGTAACAATGGTTTTTCTACTGCTACACGACCACGCAGACCAGCAGATCTGAAAGACGATTCTTCACTGTAGAAACTGACTCTTTATTGGATCGCGTTTTATTCAACTCCCGAGTGATATCCGGTGCTGTCAGTCGACGATTACGTTTTGAAGTCGTTATTATGAACCTATCCTCTGCTGCAGAAGTAGTCTTTGGTCTTCCGCTCCGTTTTCGATCCGATAAACTGCCAGTTTGCCGGTGTCTAGCAAGTGTGTAATGTACTCCCTTAGGCGATATACCGAGTTTTTTTGCAATATCTTTTTCAGAATACCCTTCACTTTTAAAAAAAAAATAACCGATCGTGTTTCAATAGGTAACTGTCTTCCTTTGCCCATTTTTCTCCACAAAATAAGGAAATTACTATTTTTTTTAAGTTGTAGTTGTACAGAAAAAAAAATACAATTTGACGGTGTGCAAATAACGAATCACTATTTTTAACAGAGATGACAGTTTATATTAACTACCTACAATAAGCTATGACGCGTGAAAAATGGTTATAGGGTACTCAGCAAATTAAATAAAGTAATAGGGAAAAATGTACATCAATAGGTTATTGTAATTTTTATCAATATCTCTAAGATAAGACCACAACGATTAATCCTAATACAGTAAAATAATTTGTAATGATATTATATTAAACTACGAAAAAGATGAAATTCGCCTATAGCCATTTACTATGTGTTATAACAAAAATTAGAGGTGCTTCCAAACTTTTTGTCGGTAGTGTAGGTACGGCCTTTTTTAAAAATCATCCTGTTCCTACCCCTACTTTGAGTCGCTTATTGAGAGTATGCCAGAAATAATTAAAAAAATATATTAATAACATTACTTAGCAATGCTCATTGCTCAATTCGAAAGAGGAATGTAGGTAGTTCTGAGATGATATTCGGTTCATATTTTAAATTGCTATCAACACGCTTTATATGAAAATAGAAATGGTACTTAAGTACTTACGTAAGAAGATAGCTACTTACTTTATTTAGGTAGGTACACAAGTACTTAAACTGAGTATGTAGGTGTTAATACGAAAGTGTCAAGTCAAAGGTCAAGTACAGATTACTTATTTAAGCCAGGTAGATTATTTATGCAGTAAGACTAGGCAGTTAGCATTTTTTCTGCTAAAACAAAATTAGGTATGTTATATTAAGACACATACAAATTGTTTGAACACTTATGAATGGAAACAATTAATACGTGTGAATCAGCCAGATTAGCAATTGGTTGTAGTAGTAATAATTTTGAATCAAAACAATTCACTTATGAGTAATTTATGTTCAATGATCTATTAATACCTCTGTTACGTGTGTAACATCTAATAAATCCATTGTTCAACTACTACTACCTAGTGCTTAATCTTGTTTAAATGTAAACGATGCGCGGCCCTGTTCAAAATCAAACCAATAGTCATAAGCCGGTTAAGTTATAAGACATTGTGGTTTGTACGAGTAGTTCAGTTCGGTTTACCTGCGTAGTAGTAGGGCAGGTAAGTTAATCCTGTTAGGTGGCCGTGACACGTTGCCCGGCTTCTGTATTGAGGCATTTAGTCGTCGCTGCTCGGCCCGCATCCGTCCTCGCAATGTGCGACGCCAGACCACGTAAAACTGCACCTGCCATACAAGAGAAACTCGCCATTTATGAAAACGGTATACATATCATATCCATATCTCATCGTAGGCTCCCGATTAGGCTTGGCTTACACTTTACGATTGAAAGTATCATAACCCTGTCCTGTTACAGCTACTGCATTACATTTACATTTGGACAAGGTAGTGTTTCACCACGGCTAGTTGTTATTTGGCACACGTACTAATATGCGCAGGCTAAACAAAAGCACAACATGTCCAGCGCTTTCACGCCGACTGGTTATGATATCTGACTACGATGACATACTGCACTGCTCTGTAACCTAATACCATTTGTTCTATTTATATTTTTATGGCGTTCGCCCGTTAATTATCCCCAACTCAATTGTTATTAGCTGCGTAGTTGGCGTTTTATGTGTAAGTCGATTTTATCAATGGACCCACTTTTTTACGTTTGTTTTATTTCGTATCATTTTACTGAGATAAAGTCATAAATGCAAGAGAGTTACATTATAGTGAGTTACTGATTAATACGGGAAATAATACAGTGTTCTTTTGTGGTTCTTATCGTAACCGAAACGGTGGAGCCATTGTCTTCACTGCGTCACGAATATAATATCCTTAGCTTTATATGCGCTCTTGTCAGTCATGCAGAGCACAATAACACCTTGTTAACAGATCCTCATATGAATACGAACTCGAGATTAGCTCCGCTGTGATAAGTTACTTCAGAGGTGACCGACTGTTTTATCTTGCAACCGTTTATCATTCAAAGAACGCACGTGTCCGAAACACACACGTAACTATTATGATGTTCCATACCATACTAACATTTCCATAAAAACAAGTTGAGCATATTTGTGTGTTGACAGCCGCATCACGGTATTTGTGAAAATCGAAGAGGACTTGAATATATGAATAGACGGGGTAATTAAATGCGCTGCCTATGTGAATTTGACTAACAATATCGAGAAAGTAGAACTAATCACTAACCTAATTAAATAAGTATCATATCGTAACACTTAGATAACACTTGCATAATATTCGACAAAAGATAATAAAACCATCCATTATGTGTACGTGGTTTTTATTAGTGATATGGAATGCGGACAGTATAGAGACAGTTAGATTTTTGTGCATTGCATGTTCAAGTAGGGAGTGTATTGTGTGGTGTGGGCGGTTGCATTAAAATTATGTATGCAGCAAGCGTGGTACATTTGGCACGGGAGCCAGGATAAAGGGGACTGGGAATTCTGGATAAGGAATCAACGCCCTGGGTGGCGGCTTCGGGCTATCCCAATACATTTTATCGAAGTAGACAATAAATTGCCTCCATTAAATTAGATTAACAACGAGTGAACCTATATTTTATAATTCGTTGAACAATGTTATTAATTAACATGACACTGAAAACAATAGAACTTTACTTCCAATTTAAGGCTATTATTATTAATTGCATTTGCATTGATGTTCCATTATGTAATATCATCATTGTCAGTTTAATATTCATTTATTGTAGCTTGGGGTTAAACGGATCGATGTCAGTGTCAAGTCCTTGCATCCGAACGATACTGACGACGCGGACATGTATTACGCATAATTTTCCCACCTGTGTTTGACCTTATTTAAAAAATAAAATATACAATTAAGTATAAGATGATGATGTTGAGTCACTATTCCTAAGAAAAATCGTCGAAAGATTTTTGCAAACTCCCTCATGACATGATATGATATCCTCCCCCAAAAGGAGACTTTTCAATTGATGAGGTTTATTTACAGTTTTAAACTCAAGAGATCGGTCAATTGGTAAAAAATCTTATACCTACCTTATGGAAGAGGAATTTATGTTTAATCATACGAAAGAATTGATATCTATATTCACGCATGCCATAAGTACAGCAAACCATAATAAACAAGTGCAGAAACAATAAACAAAGTTTATGTGTAAATAAAAATTGAGTCGCGTGGTTCAGTACTCAGTACCTACAATGTTTCAGTGAAATGAATGGTCACACTGTACAAGGAAACAGCATAAATATTGCATATGTGATATGCTAACAAATTCATTATTATCTGCTTCCTTATTTTCTCCGAGCGGGAATTCCAATAGGAGCGCACTACAGGACTACAGTTTTTAATGATAAATAACGCCATCAATGGTATACGTATTTTAGTTAATCAAACATTGATTGAAAGGGAATGTAGAATTAATGCAAATTCTGCGTGAGGCGCTGTAAAAAAAAAAAACGATTTTTTTCCGTAGCAGAACCGTGTCGGTGTCGCAGCACAATATATTTGCGGCGGGACATGATGTTGAAACATCTAATAAAGCACCCCTTAACTTTTATTTATCACCTACGAATCGAATAAGAATAGAAAGTTAACTAACTGCATTACATTTGCTATAGGATACAATACC